TGGCTGGATCGGTCTCGCGGGTCTTGTGTTTTTTAAAGCGGTCGAAGGCTTGGCTCCCTTCCAACGTATCAACGTATGGCATTTATTATTTCGGGTTGATGGTTTCGTTATTCGTTCATGGGCGGTGCGTTTGAGGTTTGTTGATGCAGGATACAGGGTGGTACGTACTAGATAGTGAGTGATAGTATTTTTTCAGGCATATTATGTATTTATATTAAAAATTAATGGCAAAGTAATGATACCCAAGCATTTTTAGAAAAAAATAATCATAATTATTCGTCAATATCTTTCAATTTATCGCGATGAATTGCCTGCCTCAAACTTTATGGTGAGGCTAAGCCTCCCTTGCTTCCTCTGAAGAGCCGCAGCCGGAAGACACCATATCTTATAATCCGATATATTTCTGGCAATGAGTTGAATCGAAAAAAGATTCTCTCTACATTTGACCGTGTGTGGTATGAGGGTTTGCAGGCCAAACTTTGATATTATGGCTTGCTGGATCATTTTTATGTATGGCTCTCCAGCTTCCAGAAAGAACGTTCCATGGTGGCTGTCAATGGATATCTCTCGAATACTCTTACCATCAACGCTGGTGTTTCCCAGAGATCCATATTGTCTCCAACCCTCTTTTTATTCTACATAAACCTAATAAAAAAAACAAGAATTAAATATATTGGTTTGCTGACGACATCACACTTGTCTCGTCATTCCATTTGGATTCCACGACATCAGCTGCGGATGCACATTAATATTAATATTAATATATTTCAATACTATTTATTTTATGATTGAGATATTTCTACATGTCATTGTGAAAATGTAATATTTCAATTATTATTATTACTCATGTGTTATTATTTATATTGTTATTATCTGTCATATTTATGTTACCACGCACAAGTCACTCCTGTAACTTTTATGATATTGTCTGTGATATTATCATTGTTGTATATTAGGTTGTTCCCTATTTGAACAAACTATTATCATTATTATAGTTTGTCCCCTCTTCGCAAAGTTTCTGATTTCATATAATACAAAAAACGAGAGTTTGTGAAAGAATCATGTGAATCTGTGTTGTTCCTAAGGACGTTGATTCGACTAAGAGTACCATCGAATTGTTATAATTCACTTCATCAAATAACATTATGAATCGGTCTCCAAACCAAGCAATATATTCGTACGTGCTCTATATGCAGGCACAATACACTCAATATTTCCAAGTGGGCCGCGTTTCCAGTTGAATACAGCAGTGGCTTCTCTTCATTAAGCTCCATTGTTTAAATGCGTGTTGGATGATTTATCGGATGATTCGAACTCAATAAAAAATCGAAGTATCTTTTAATTGCATTACGGAAGTGGCGCGATGTGGTTTTCGCAATGATTTTTCGAAATTTGAATAGAGTTTCATCCCAGTAAACAACGTACTCGAAAAATAACGATCATGTGATTATTTTCTAGGACGTCCGACCTATCAATGGGTGGTATGAATAAAAATGAGAATAAAATGAGTTTTGGAGTAAATACTCTACGTGGTATGAATACAGTACAGTTTGTTGTAAGAATATTCTCATTTTCGGTATGAATAAAAATATCTTTATGCTCGTTAGGATGAGAATATACTACATAAATTTGGAGTTCAACAGTTACCAGACTTTCGTTTTATCGTGGCAAAGCTATGGCTGAGTACATGTTTAATTTGCGTTCAAAAAATATTATAAACCAAGAAGAAGTACGTGTGACTTGAATTTGAAGCATTATACCGATTTAACAAAGAAAATGTTGAGTTGCTCTCAAATAACTTTTTGGGTGAAGAATCGGAAGAAACAAGAAGTGGAGCTATATGCAACTTTGATAAAATGAAAATATTTTTAAGATATGTAAGTGATCTGGGGTTTCAAACAGGAGTGGAAGATGTTGGTGTTCATCAAAGTACTGTGTTTTAGGTTGTGACGCAAGTTGCTAAGCAGATAATAGAAAAATGCGCACGTTGGATAAAATTTCCGGCGCATATAATAGCAGCTAAAGGAAGATGGCAATTAAAGTACATTTTTTCGTGTGCTATGGGTGTGATCGATTGCACCCACATAAAAATAAAAAAAACCCTATGGTGTCTTTCAGAAATTCAAATACTCCGGCGCAGCTTGCTTATAACAAATTATTTATAAAGGAGCGTGTAATAATTGAACGATGTTTTGGGCAACTGAAACAACGATTTCCGATGCTTCAATATAAAGTTCTGGTGTCGATTGAAATCGTTCCAAAACTTGTTATTTGTTGTTTCGTGTTACACAATGTAGCTAAATATTCGAATGATGAACTCGATCCCATGGAGCCCCCAATACAAGATATTTGGGATCCGCTTCCCGTACAAGATACAGATGACATTAGACAAAGTGGGCAACGAAGGCGATCTGGATCAGCAGAAATCATTCTTGCTTTTATTTAAGACAAGTAACAGTCGAACAAAACAATGCATTTATAATTTTCATCGTTAATATTTTTTCTTATAACTTTTACTTCGTGACAATTTACAAAAATATTCAAATATTACATATACATGTAAGTTTTTTCTGTTTGCATCATTTCATTTCCAAACCTCTCAGTTGTTTAAGCAAAACTAGCCTTTGTAGTACGGTATTTGAAAGTTGTTTAGTATCGTTTGTCTTGTATTTTTCAAGAGGGCTAATTTTGTTGGTTTTCTTTTTTTAGGTGGATTTATTTCACTAGCAGTTTCATTTGTGGTGCACGTTCTAGAAACAGAAGGCCTTCGGATTTTAGCTTCATGACTGCGGCCTGCTATTGTGTCTATTTGTTCTGTACCGACAGAAAATGCTCCTGAAATGAAATTGTAAAATAACTTTAACAGAAATATAATTTTGGTTCTGGATTAAATATAGCTTGGCTGCCTTACTTATATTTCTATTTATAAATATTACATCACCTGGATTTTTTGTAAGTACTGGATTTGTATCGCCTTCCATGATTTCCAACAAAAACTTTTCCCAATCCTGCAGAACAATTTTCTTATTTCCACTTCTATTATTATCAGTCTTTTTCTTGAGTCTGGATTTCATGTTATTAATTTTTTTGTAGATTTGACTTGTTGTTATTTGTGAACCGAAATTGAGCTCCCATAGTTTTCTCATCGCTTCAACTGCTTTTTACTTTGATAGTCGGACAGCTGGTGTTTGACTTGGACAAAAGTACAGGAAAATCACGTAACATATGCACAAATCCCAATTGGGATTCGCATCCCTTATTACTTTCGTCTTCACTGCTTTCACTCATTGTAACAACAAGACAAAGCGATAATTAACTGCTCAAATAAAAGGCAATACGAGAATATGCCAAATCCCTGCTAACTCCTAAACAAGCTCTGAGAAGTTTATAGAAATTAAATAGTGGGTATTTACTCTTATGTACTGTGAGCAGATACTCATCACATCAAAATATTTTTATTCATATGAAGTGGAGTACAAACTCATACTTTATGCTCATACTCATGAGAACATACTCTGAGTTCATACTCCGGAGTTATTCATATCACCCAATAACATTTCCTCAGTTTTTTTTTATTTTCAAAATAGTCTCCTTCCAGCCTAACACACTTCTATCAGCGACGCCACCATCTCTGTAACCCGTCCAAATAGTAGTATGCGTTTTTCTCTGCGGAATAATTGTTCACGAAGGTGATTGCCTTTCCATTTGACGAAAATCTTTGTTCACCGAGCGTAATTTCCAGATGAGGAAACAATAAGAAGTCGCTGGGCGCTAGATCTGGTAAGTGAGGCGGATTTTCAAGCAGTTCAAACCATAATTCGTGGATAATTCCGACAGCGTTTTGCCACGATTGAGAAGATTAAAAACCGAATTGCTGAGAGACCTGAAGAACATACCAAAAAGCGCATATCGAAAGGGACAGGAGAGAAATTGAGGAATGAATGGATTTGTTCTGAGAAAAATTAAAATTCGCTTCATTTTTTTAACAGACCTCGTACAAGAAACCTCTCTTCCTCTTCCGTGAAACAAACCTCCAACTGTCGTCCTTTCCTTACAAAACTACCCGTCCGACCTTCTCCCCGAAACTCAATTTTGGTACACTTTCCATAGGTCAGGCGCGTTTACGACTTGATAAGATTCCTTGAACGCTATCATCCCTCCCGAAACTTCATATCGACCGGCTCCCTTCTGAACTGCACGACCGAAGTTTGGAGCCCTCGTGACTCTCATTTATTATGTCGTTATGTTACACCTCGCATTTTGTAGGGCCTTATGAATGGGAGCCCTGATTTATTCGATGGAAATTCTTGTCGCTTCGAATGGACTCACACTTAACATATTTGATTCCACCAAAAGCGGCACATATCAGAAATACGCGACGGACTGTGGCTGCTCATCGTTTCAAGGTTCAACTCAGTACAACTCGAACTTCACTGTTGAAGAACTCTTCCATTTGGAAAACAGCGTTAATGTGGAATAAACTTTCTGAGAAAGTTTTTTCAAATGGATTTAATCTCCAGGTCAAATACAATGTGAATCGCTATTTTCACACAGGCGTTCAAACGACGAAATCATGAAAAAACGGCCCCATTTGACGAAAACAAGTGATGTTCTATTGAGACGGTGCACCGTGTCACAAATCAATGAAAACGATGGCAAATTTTATGAATTGGGCTTCAAATTGTTTTCGCATCCACCGTATTCCCCAGATCTGCCCCCCAGCGGCTTTTAACTGCTCTCAGACCCAAAAAAAATTTTCGCTGTCGTTATTGCACGAAAAATGAAAAACATTGTTTCATACTAACTTGTATCCAGAAGAAATGTTGTAATTATAAAAAAAACTGTTCAAAATCTGTTTTTTCGTTAATCAGCTGTCGCCCCCATACGAACGACAACTCTCAGAAGTTGAAAAACTTTTGCGAGCTAAGGACTAACGAGGTCAACCCTTTTAACGTGTGATTCCTAAAAAAGCTGTCATTGATGAATTTATTTTGTTTCAGAGTGGCATTTGAAGAACACGATGAGTTTCCTAAATTCTCTGTCGGAATATGTGACCAATAGTGTTGCAGGCCTGACTCTGAGTCCTAAAAGGTGAGTACATCAAAAAACTTTTTTTGTATTCTTCTTCTTGAACTACGAATTTTTGTATATAGAGTTTATAGTAATTTTCATGAAAAATGATCACTAAAACTTTCTATGTTTTCATACTCCTTTTATTTGTAACTAATGTTTTCTCAGTTTCGTTCTACAAGGGGATTTATTGTATTCGTTTGAAAATGTGCTTGTAGGACGAAACTGCAGTAATGTCAGTTGCAAATACGAGTGGAATAAAATCATAAGGAGTTTTATTTATCATTTTTGATGATGATCTTCTACCACATAGTAAACGGCCACATCGATCAATTCATACAGTTATTTGTATGTCAGCCTATTTCCCCTTCACGAAAATTCGTTTCATGGGCACAAACCTTGTTCATCGTCCATTCACAATGAAAGGTTACTCAAAATACGTTGACTATTTCAGTTTTATCAATATTCTAATGTCTTCCCTACATCAAGACAAAAAATATTACCACAGTCAATTGCAACCTTGAATAACTGTAAATGGTGACAACTTGCTTATGCCACAGCTTGCCTAGCAATCACACGTGAAAGTTTGGTTACCGTGCTATGAGACTCTTTACCATCCACCAGCATATGAGAAATGTGAATGAAACCAATATAAAGGCCAATGAAAACTGTCTAAGAGTAGATGAACAAAGCTGGTTCTCTGACACCGGAAATTCAACTGACAGATGAGAGATGGTGACGTCACGGCATGCGTTTTCAACCGTTTTCTGTGCGTTTTCGACCGTTGTGCGTTACGTTACGACAATAACGATGAAACGATAACAAATAAACGCATGCAAAACGGTCGAAAACGCACGGAAAATGGTCGAAAACGCACGCAAACGATCGAAAATGCACGGAAAACGGTCGAAAACGCACGGAAAACGGTTGAAAACGCATGCCGTGATGTCACCTCGTCTGTTAGTTGAATTTCCGGTGTCACAGAACCGGCTTTGTTCAAATACTTCTGAGTATCTAAGGTAAGCTAAGTATCATAGAAATCCTTTAGCAAAATTGGGGGTATATCGAATCTCTTGAGGCTGTGGATCGGTCTATACTGAAACAACGCAACTTTCTGGACGCTAAAGAAATTGCCACTTTCGGCATACTGACAAATCAACACAGAGACAATCCTAGAGATAATTAACATCATTGAAGTTTGGCTATCTTCGCAAAATCACACTGGTAAAAAGAGTTTATTCAGTTATATCAAACATAGCCATGCCCTCCATGAATGAGCCAAACTCGAATAAATCGTCTGTTGCTTCACCGTCTTTGATAATGTATACCGCAGCAGCAGACGAAACATCTAACAAACCCGGAAAGTAGCTGCGACACATTCATTAAATGAATCAATTTTAAGTTTGTCAAGTACATGTATTTCGCCTTCAGTACCACACCGTTAGCGGCCATGGAGATCCTTCCAAATCTACCTCCTCTCCACATTCTTCTGGAGGACGAGGCTAGATGGCTTATGAAGTACTGTTCTCGAGGAGGAGGAGGAGGAAACATTGAGAGCAGTTAGTTGTTGGTTCACAGATGGATCAAAAACACCTTCGGGTTCTCGTGCAGGTGTTGTTAGTCGCAGACCCAGGACAGAGTATTTCCTGCCAAGGAATTTATGCGACTGTATTTCAAGCGGAAAATTACGCTTTTGAATTGTGTGCGGAGAGATTGGATAAATCCAACCTCACACACAAGTGTTAACATTTTAGAGCAGCCTAATCACCCTAATTACCCAACATTCAATGCAGACACTGATGACGTTTACGAAAACCGACCCACGATAGCAAGGCTTCGTTAGGAAGCTGGGTTCCTAACTTTTTAAGTTTTATCTACAATGTTGAAGTCATCAAAATAAATATTGAGTAGATACACTGATTGATTGATGGACTAATTGATTGATTGATTGGTCTTCTGCAGTACCTTCAGAAATAAGCGCTCACTTCCGATTTCTGATAGAGGTCGAATCCCCTAAACAAAGAATTGGACTGTCTCACACTATTCGACAAATAACGTTGCGGCTTTGTAAAACAGCCTGTACGATGGGGAGATCAGTCCTTTATCCTTTCTAGCACCGATCCGACTATGGATAAATACGGCGTATTTCACGTCTCGTAAGCCCGCGTACAGCGAAAGACCATTTTTGAGATTTCCTCCCGGCTTTCGTTGTTCGTCGCGGTCTGTGTTCTCCTGGGAAATGTACTTATCGTCGCTATTTGTTAGTGGCGAAACCACAAAACAGCGTTTCTGAGCGGGATTACTCTTGCTGTCGGTATTTCCACTTTGGAAGATACACAATCTCTCCGTGATACCGACTGATTTCCTTTTATTGCGGCCCTTTTGTAATATTGAAAACGTACTCGGCAATACCTGTATAATCCGGAAAATCTTCGTCAAGGATCACTCGAATGGAAGGGGGTTGTTGGAGAAACAAAGCGCTGGAATCTACCCACGTTCAATGGCTGAATTGATTCCACCCCAGCTCTCAGGTTATCAATTTCCGTTTCATCGAAGATTATGAAACGTCTCTTTTGTCATCATCCCTACCATTTGATCATTAGCGAGGAAATTTTGTTAAAGATCATTCTTTACATTCGACTTCTAGCTGATTTTGTCTGCTAGGGACTATTGAATTTGCTATAATTCACTTCAGAGTTTGTGGATACATTTGAATGTCGTGGAAAACCCACCTAGTCCCCTGGTAGGAATTCTCATGGATGATTTGAAACAAAAAATATACAATAACTCGTTTGTTGGAGAAAAAATCTTGAGTTGAGCTGGCGTGACCGGTTTGTAGGTAAACCGATCTCTGAACTCTTCCAACTTCCGGTCGCTATTTTGTTGCTGACTCAATCAGAGCATTCATGAGGAACAACAAGTCATCAAGGAAAGCTTTTTGCGAAAAAATCGGAAGCTAAGCTGGCTTGGCCCGGTCGTAGGTTTACCAGTTACACCATTCTCAAGTATTAGGATGAGTAACATGACTACCTTTAAGGCTTCGTAAAGCGTATTTATGCCTTGTCAGGCAATCAGTTGTATTTGTTCCTGTATTTGTACCTGCACTTGTACCTATACTCATACCTGCACTACTTCCATGTTTCCAGATGACGAAGATGTCATCCACGTAACGTAGCCACAAGGTCGGCTTCAATTCAAAAGTGTCTATCACTTTTCCTTCGAACTGTTCCATGAAATAATTTGCTATCGCCGGGCTAAGTGGACTCCCCATCGCAACGCCATCTAGTTGCTCATAGAAGTTTCCCCCCCATTGAAAGTAACTTTCTGTGAGACATGCTCTTAAGAGTTCGACGACTTCATTCGGGAACACGTGGGCTAACCCCCTCTGAGAGTCTTCCAGTGGGACATTGGTAAGCAGAGACACCACATCGAAGCTGACCAGAACATCCATCGGCTCCAGCGTTAAGCCCCTAAAAAGGAACTGTAGACTAGGCCAAACGGACAAGTCAGCTGTGGCAGAACACGCACTTACGCACTTAGTGAAGGAGACCGCATAATTTTGATTGAAAACAGAACTAATTTCCCCCAATCAGGGATACCATAGCCGACTAGTACGGGAGGCAATAGAGATCCACAAACACACGGAGAATTTCAACAGAAAAGAAGAAGAGGTTAACCTCAATCGAATATGGAACCCCATTTTAAGGAATTCTAAAATAACGAACAGGACAACAGGCAGCAAGATTGTTAACGTTCCAAGTTCAAGTGCAGGAACGAGTATAGGTACAAATGCAGGTACAAATACAGGTTTAAATACAGATACAGATATAACTGATTACCTGACAAGGCATAAATACGCTTTACGAAGCCTAAAAGGTAGTCATCGGACAGCAAGCCAGGCTGGTTGAACCTCTGAAGAAGCTAGTCACTCGCGCTAGCGAAACGTCAGGAAGAAATTCGAAAAATCCACGGCTTTCAAACTCGAAAAGCAATGACACTGAAAACCTCAGCCGTGAAAGTCTAAAACCATTTTTTCAAGATCAAACTGATCTTTCTCTTGAAGATGGTCACTTGGTGATCGAAACACGTGTCGAGGTGTTAAAATAATGGTTTGGTGTTGGGAAAAAACTTCGATAATATTCATTAATACACCAAAGGTTCCAAACAGTTCATCACAAGTATAAAAGGTTACGCTATAGGGACCTGGGATTCAATTCCAGTTCTCGGAACCTTAATTGTTTGAAAATAATTGATAGCTTGTTATTTATGATTTCGGAAATGAGCCATGGTGGATGATGATTTTTTAGAGTGGTTGTGAGTTGAAACATTTGAGTTGAAAACTTGATGAAGGGTGATAAAAATGGCTTGTTTCTCCTATCTTCCAAAAAAAATTTGATGAGAATAATAATACCTATAATAATATTGAAAACGATACGTGCTAGAAAAAATAAAGCAATATTACCTATTCAACAAAAACAACATGAACACAAAAAACTTTTTTTCTATTCACAGGTTCTCCTTGACTCGAACCGACACTTCAGAAGCCACAATCCCGATCGGTTCGAGGAGCAACTCCGGGGACAGCAACACTCCGGGCTTCCCCAAAGTAATTCCGACTCCAGGAGCTGTAGCGCCAATCCAGCGTCGGAGGAGCACACTAGAATGTCCCGTTCCAGCTCCGCCAGGAAGAAGACCTGGATCCTTTCGGCAAAAATCCCCGAGAGCAACCCCCGAAAGACCCCCGACCTTTTGCCACCGGAGACAGAGCTGGCCTGAGATCGACCACCAGGTTTGTTCCGGGTAAGGAGATTTTTTTCGCCTGTACTATACTCTATTTCCTGATAGTTAACGAAAGCAAGTTATTTGTTGTGTTCTCCAAGGCACAGTATTGGATCCTTCATCATTCAACATTCATATTGATGAATTATTCCAATGACACAGTGAGGGACTTTAAACTAGTGACAGTATATGAATCACGAATCCAACCACTATCAATCCACCAAATCATCAAGAATCTAGTGGATCGTACTTTCGGGCTCTGTAATACGAAGGAAGGTCTCGAGAAGAAACTAGACCAAAATGATATTCAACGAAATGGCTACTCCAAAGCGATAGTGAAACAGACTTTGGCTAAAAGACAGTTAGAGCCTCGCAAGAAAGAGAAGTCGTTACAATCAGTGCTTGCACTTCCCTACATCAGAGGATGATCGGAAAGCATAAGAAGAATTGGGTCCAAATACAACATCAGAACCTTCTTCAGATCAAGGAACAAAATCCGTAGCAGCCTCACGAAAACCAGGCCACCAAACGCAAACCAAACGATTCCTAGAATTGCATTTATGGGATACCCTATGAGTGCGGCAAATCCTATATCGGTAAAACTAAGAGGCCTTTGAAAGTCAGCATTGTCGAGCGCAAGAGAAACACAATGCCAGGAGAAACCAGCAAATCGGAAATAGCAGAGCGGGTCTCGACTCATCAACATAATATCAAGCTGAGATCATCCACAAGGAGGAAAACTGGCTCGAGAGGAAGTTCAAAGAAGCTGCATATTAGTAAAGAAGCTGCATATATGTTGTGCAACGACGCAATTGCTAGCTAGCGTAGAAATACGCAATATATGAAAACCTGTGATCAAGCGGGAAAATGGTTGATTGCCGCTAGACCGGTGAAGCGAAGAACTGGAAGAGGAAATAGCTGAAAGCGCTCGATTGACCAATGAATAGTCATCTTCCGGAGAAAAAGTCCAGTCATCACCCGAAGATGATATTTATCTTGATTCATTTTATTCGTTTTATTGTATTTCTATTTTCCTATATATATATATAATCAAAATGAGCATGAAGAGATAAACGATTATCCACCATGAAACCTCAGTATTTGAATTCACTTACGAACTCTATTACATCACCTGCAATTTGTAATCTTATGTTGAGATTGTTGATGAGTGATAGCTTATAACCAGTAGATAAGATCATATATTTTGTTTTGGAAGTGTTGAGTTTTCGTTTATTGCGATTCATATACTTGAAAACATTTCTTACTTCATTATGCATTTGATCAGCTACTGTTTCTATATTATCTCCTGAAATTGTTAACAAAGTGTCGTCTGCAAAAAGGTTCATGAAATCACAACCATGGATGGTATCTATATCATTCAGGTAGATTAAAAATAATTTAGGTCCCAAAACACTTCCCTGAGGTACCCTGAAAATGGCATCGCGAGATGATGACACTGAATCCTTTATTTTGGTTCCCTGTTTGCGTTGTGATAAATAATCAGTCAGCCATAACAAAACAGTTTCCCTGATACCAATACTTTGCAGTTTATTTAGTAATATGTGGCGATCAATTGTCTCAAAAGCTCTTTTGAGATCTAAACATACGGCTATAATATAATGTCCCTTATCTATTGATTCTTTCCATTTTGATTATTTGACTTGTAATGCAGACTCACATGAATGATGTTTTTTGAAACTTGAGTGATATTTTAGTAAAATATCATTATTTTCTAGATAATCAATTAGTTGATTATAAACTGCGACTTCTAATATTTTTTTAATACAAGGCAAAGTGTTGATTGGTATAAATTCCCAGGATTTATTTGTGTTAGGTACTTTCAGAATTGGCACAAGTACGCTGGTCTTGAGCTCCTTTGGGAATCTGCCAGAGCTCAAAGATGTATTTATAAAATGCAACAATACATGTCCTATAACACGAAACTTTTTTTTAATAAGTTTGCAATTAAGTCTCTCACTGTTGTATTTCATTTCCACTCCGTTGATTAATTTAGACAAATTTGCTAACTCCCACACTTTCAATTTCTCAAAGGAGTTGTTAATCGATATAACATTGTTCTCATGAAGTGAATCAAATTGATCACAATTTCTTGTACGCTATCAATAAAATAATTGTTAAATGATTCTGAAATTCAGTTATAACTGTCTGAATAATTATTAATAACTTCCACAATTCGCAGATTTGCGCTTCTGGAACGCAAATCTCTCTCTGGAATCGCAGTATCTTCATTTTCCCGCGATTAAGTGGATTTATTTCCAATTAATTCTTGCGGAAGTTTATATTATGGTTAAATTTATTTGCCGGCATACACGTCGCTTCGCAGAACCAGCCACTCCGATGAGAATTCAGTCTCTGGAGTGACACTGCTCGAGGAGATCAGAAAACTGGAATGATCTAACTCCGACTTTCTGCAGTTGCCTTTTATGTTTGTTTACTTTGAACGACGATGAACGTACGAGAAATGGGATAAGTACAAGGAATCGAACCAGGTGCTTTGACGTGGCTTTTTATTTCCGTTGATTGCTTTCGATATAGGAATACGATTTGATATTTGCGTCAGACACCTCTGAGGGTGACGATAGTCACCCTCAGAGGATAAACAGGGTAGGGCACCGAAAACGAAACAGATCGAATATCTTCAAAACACATGTGTTCTGAAAGAAATGCAAAAACACGTCGATTTTTAATCCAAGAGGGACATCTTATCATAACCTCAACTGTCATATCTCTTCCCCCACCCCTCGGTGAGTATCACCCAAGCAATTTGAATAGGGAAAGTAGTAAGTGTGACACATCGTTAAAAAAGTAATTCCATAAGGAATTCAACCATGTCAAATTTAGCTACCTAACTTTCGATTTTGGCGCCTTCTTGCGGAAAAAAACTGTTCCGCATTCCATATTATGATACTTCATTCGCAAGCTAATTTGATAATAATTCGGTGACAATGCATTATGGAGTTTCTTTATGAGAAAAACAAGATGGCGGCTTCATAATGGCGGACAAGATTTGGAATTGTGGTCCGATTTGATTCAAAATTGACGGGTGGTGGTTTTCAGGGTCGAAGAACTATATCTGCAGAAGCAGCATGTGTTCTTGCTGGAATTCCACCAATAGAGCTCCAAGTCATCGACTGAAAAGAGAAATATGCAGGCATTTCAAAGGGAATCGCTAGAGAAAATTTGATAAAAAACTATAGAATTTTCAAATAATTATTCCAAAGCACTTTGGGAATTTGTAGATGAAATATGCAATAAATCAAAACCTGAAACACAAATTCCAAAAATGAAACTTAAAAATGGAACAGTAACTGATGATGTAACTGATTCAACAAATACTCACTTGGAGAAATAAATGCGAACAGGATTATTGAACCAAAGAACCAATACTCCAAAACAAAGGTTTCAAAATCCATTGTATCTTTACGAAACTGATACAAATGAAGTACATGACGTGATCATGGAATTGAAATCACAAAAGTCACCAGGACATGACGGAAATCGCTCGGAAACTTTGAAAATGGTTTCTGCTGAAATTGAAGTTCCATTGACCATTCTCATTGATGAATGTTTTGAAAATGGTTGTTTTCCTAAAATATTCAAAATGGGAATAATCAAACCATTGTACAAAAAAGGGGATAACATGGATATTACTAATCACAGACTGATGGCAAAAATAATTGAAAAAGTTATGAAGAGGCGTTTTGTGAAATTTACAAATAAATATAAACTGATCGCCGATGAAAAATATGTTTATTTTGCATCACTGGCGACTTCGCCAAAATTTAGATAAATATTGTTTTTTAAAACTTCAATGAAATTGTGTGGAATATAATGATTATTAATAATAAATGATTTTATGGAAAGGTCACTCAATAAAAGAGACATAAACCTAAGCTAACAAGTGGCAGAGTTCAACATCTACATGATAAATGAAGGGAAATATTGCTTTTCCATTCAACCAGAGAGAATACAACCAAAAATTCCTCGGAAAAATTCAAATCCAAATAAAGATTTAAAAAGCGAGTAAAATCATTTTCAGAAACATCCATCTTGTTTTATAGGCAGTCTTCCGCAGTTGCAGGCGAAACGTTAGTCCCAAGAACTTGCAGACGAAACAAATACGAAAAATACGAGTCACCTTACTATTACTGAATAAACTTCCAAAACTGGTCGAATAACTTTTTAATTATGTTTCATTCAAGTTCAGAATAGTTGAAGGTTGTGAATTTAAACCTAACCAATACTTTTGATGAAGAACATTGGAGCAGAAAAATCTCAGAACAAAAAAACAATTTCATCAACATTAATGCGTTATACTAGTTTATACTAGTTTCCACAATAGAAAAAAAATATCCCTCTCAATTCAAACAGGATATTTATGGCTGGGATTGAATCAAATGGACGAATGAATGTTATGTCATCGATGACATGAGTAGATCTATCTCAGTCGTAAATTTGGGTAACAGGATCAATGTTTTTTTGCTGACGTTTCCAATTCAATGGAATTTTTCTTCAGGGCTCTGCAAAAAACCATCAGACATTTCAGTTATATAATAAATGAAAAATAAAAACAATACAATAACCAAATTTCCGAGACAACATCAACACAAAACGACATGAAACAAACGGATGGCTTTATCTGTGATTATGATAAGATGGTGTCCGTTTTTTAATCAAGGACGGAAAGACAAATAATGAAAAAAGGGTGCATTATTCAGGTATATTACTTATCAAATTGAAATATACAGTATCAGGGCCATCGGCATCTCTTCTAGTGTTAACACTATCGCATTTGATGATATGTATTATTTCGCTCAAGAGTCTTTTGGATAAATATGGTTGAACACCTAGAATAGTTGGATAATCAAAATAAAAAATATGCCCATATTCTTCTTCATGTTGAACGAGGGCTGTGAGATTTTTAATATTTTTTTCCTAAAAGTCTTTCATGTGTTCTGAAACTCGTGTTTTAAGATACCGCCCGGTATGACCAACATATC